GTAGATGTGGTGCTTAGGGACATGGTTTAGTGGTGGACTTGGCTGTGTTAGGTTTACTGTTGGACTCGATGATCTTAAAGGTCTTTTCCAACCTAATGATTCTATGATTCTATGAAATTTTAATTTGAAACATCGGATTTAATGGAGATGAGAAGTTTACAATGCTCAAAACACCCTATACCATAGTTTAACAAAACCCGTATGGGTCCACAGGAGATAAAATATGTGTCATCTTTTCCAATAGTGTTTGGTTAATTAATTTCTATGGAAAACTGTCTTAGCATTTTTCAAGTAAGATCAGGGATGTCCTCCAGACTTTTAAAAATATTTAGAGACGATAAAAACATTTCCTATTGTGGTTCATTTTATGCTGCCAAGTAAGGCAAGAAGTCAAAAAAATAGCACAGAAGGCTTTTTTTCCCCACTTATTTTAATTGCTACTTGTGAAAAACTAGAAACTGACTATTTAGCATTGCAACTAATTTTTTAGCTGACTGGCTTCATCTACCTTTGATAAAGGTACACAGAAATCATCCAATATACTCTGAATTGACTAAGCTACAAAAACAGTGCATTGTGCCACAAAAAGAATGTGTGTTCTGGTAGCAAAACAGGAAGCATTAGCTTATTTTAAAATTAGAAAGCATACAATTTTTAAAGATGTAGCATAACTATAGTCAGCACCAACTTTCTTCCTAACAGGAGTGTCTTTACATAAATTTTGGAGTATCGACAGATGAAAAGACATTCGTCAGAGATGACATAGTGTCAGTTATGAGTAACAGAAAATTACGCCACTGCTCATGTATATACACAACATCTGGTGCAAAGCCCATTGATATCAAAGGTGAGATTTTAATGTTTGATGATTCTGTGCCCAATCCACATATGAAGTAAAGCACATATGAAAATACTCGGGTCAAGAGAGAAACATTAGAAGCTATAATCATATTTATTTAAAAAATTGATATCAAATACAACCATATATATTCGTGCCTATTTAGAAAACATTTTCAAAATATCAAACAGCCCAGCACTGCCATTTTCCAGTCAAAACAATGACAAAGCATTTCAGCTTTCCTTTTTTAAATCTTTTCAGTATTAGATGCTTTATATACACAAAATAGACAAAAATTGTATAGGAATCCAGAGCCAAAGACATGATACTGAAAGCAGAGTCTCAAGACGAAAAATCTATTACTGAAAATGATTTCTAAAATACACAACTATTAGGCAAGAGATGAAAAAATTATTCCCTTACAAAATCCTATCTCTACACTGTTTCGTACACATAGGGTTTCATGTAGCAAAAAATAAAATTTTGTCAATGCTTCTTGCATGCTTTAAAGACAATATCAAGGTTTTTCTCCCTTTTTTTTTTTTTTTTTTTTTTTTTTTTTTTTTTTGCACAGTGGCATTTAAATATTACATCCCTTTCTGTTCAAACCCTTTTATAAGTTTCCCCTCCTGAATTCACACAGTGGCTATACTGGGGGTAGGGGTGGTGTGTTTAAAAAAAATATTTAAGTGTAGTAACAATTATTTGCTTTTCTTAACGAAGAAAATACAGTAAAAACATTTTGATTTGGTAAAAGCAGTTGAAAAGTCACACGTACTTTAACATTCTGAATTGGGGAAGGAGGTGACTATGGCAGGTTAAATACTAAAGCATTCCCTCCATGTCTGAAATGCAAATAAGGCAAAATGTGTGTATGCAGGTTAAAAAAAAGTTTATTGCAAGACAGCTCATGCTTTTAAGATGCAAACCTGGATACAACACAAGGAAGCTACTAATTTGAAACTAAAGAATTGAATATTTGGACTGGGCCAGTTCGAATGCATTAAGTACTGTTCTTACTTGAACAACTGATTACATGTACATGGGGAATGGGTATATATGTATTACCTGTTAGACTTTTTTTTTTAATGTTTTATGAGTAACTATGAAGATTTCCCAGGATTTGTTTGTTTTATGCAAGACAGTAATGGCTTACCAAGTGAACAACATAGATATCTAAGCCCTTAAAGTTTCCATTTCAATTTTTCTTCTCCTTGGATTCTTTTTGATTCCTTTAAAAGTATGTACTGGTAACATGAATTTTACAGTAATACTTCTTTGTAAGTCTGAGTTCTAGAGTTCTCCAATCCCATTCCCCATAATATTTCTCAGTAAAAAGGCCACCATTTGTACATTTTCATCATTATTTGAAACAATAATTCTAGAAAATTTCAGACATTTTAGAACTGTAACACATTCATTTTTAAAAGCCTGTCAGTTTTGTAATAAAACAAAGCAGCTTGCAAATGACAATATTTGTCTGAGATACAGAAATAGAATTGTTTACTAGACATGTGCAGAAGCCATTTTAAACTCCCCACCATTTTATAGATTTATAATAGAAGCAATAGTCCAACATTAAAACACATTGGAAATTTAACTTTGTATTGGTTATTTTTAATTAGTCTGCAAAGTAATTAAGTATGAAAAATAGTAAGAGTACCTTAGCTGAAAATTACATTTACACTTGCTGAAGTCGTTTGACAGGCACAAGGAGCCCAAATGTTGGAGAGTAAGCCAGTATTGTATCAGATTAGTTTCAAGCCCAGAAAAATGGGAGCATTTAAACAGCTCATATTTATACCTGCTGTGCCTAACAAGAATTGCATTCAAGCATGACTGCATTACAACACTTTTTCCTTCTGCCCTCATTACAAGACCATGAAAGCAGTTTACAGAATTATACTTACAAAACTAATTTTGGAAGATATTTAATGTAAGTATCACTCATTCCCCCTACCCCTTTGATTTTTATAGGCAGAAAAACACAAATGACGTCACATGGACCGTTCACTGTGAGGAAGACAGTAAAAATCTGTTGGATGAATGAAGACTGAAATTCCTTCAAACCTCATACTGCAATAAAAAAAAATCTGCTCCTTTACAATGGACTTTGGCCTAAAGCTACAACATGGGGAAAAAAAAACCCTTCAGGTTGACAGAATAGATAACACTAAGAATAGGCTCTAAATTAGTAAACACCTTATGAGCATAGTTCAGCCATATTGAGAACTGTTTATCACTGAAAGAACGCACACCAAAAAATGCGATCGGTTTTTTATTGACAGCTTCTTGGCAGGTCCACACATTTTGAACTTTAGGTCTGGGGTATAAAATATGTACTGTCAGCAATTAGCATTAGTCTTTCCCTTTGGTGCAATTAACATACATAGCTTAAATTGCTACCTCTTAACTGCTTGACTAGGCAGATACGCCTACTTCATTAAACTTGACACTCCTCTGAAAATCAGACTGGTATTTCTAGAGTGACAATGTTGCTACACAGAAAGGAATATGGTTAGCCCTGTAATGACTGACACAGTTGTGCTTTTCAGGCACTGTTACTTTATATTCCTTACATATTAAAACACTTGTGTGATGAAGTAACTTACAAAGTGACATGAAAGTTCAAACGCAAACCTCTATGCTTTAGCAATTATAAAAAGATGTAATTGTCACAGGTTACAGTTAAGTCAATTCAAGGGGCTTTTTTTTTGTTTACTATAGGGCTACTACACTATATAGCTATAGAAAGAATACATTTTTATTATATTCTTATAATAGAGGATAAAAGGTCCAAGTTCCAAGTACTGGTATCAAATTGCCAGCCTATACCTATTTATAAAAATGAGAGTCTTATTTCAGAATCAGTTTATGGCACAACAAAAGAAGGGAAATTAAAGCTGTGGATAATTTACAGACAAGCAAAGAAATAATTCAGTGCTTTAGAGATTCCTGTTTTCAGTTTCATATAAGTTTTAAACTGAAAGCAGAAATTTACATCCTGAAAAATATAGCATTTCAAAATGGCATGCGCACACATGGACTTTTAAAGCCATTGTTTAGCTGTATTGAGACACTGCAGATATTAATTATAATGTGCATGACAGGATTATTTAAAAAAGACAAAATTTAAAATCCGCTTCTTAAAAGTAGTGCTGTCTCATGTCAAAATCCATATTGTCTTACACATACCAGTGGTTCTGGTGACATTAGTGGAAGTTCAGCACACAGGTAAGGAAAACAGAATTTAGCCCAATTATGTATAATATAATAATATCCTAAGCTATCAAGAAACCATTGCTGTAAACAAATCTTTACTGAGAGGTAAGAGCCCTTTCATGTACAGTACTACTTGATGCTGAATGTGTATTTCCATCTAGCTACCATTCATTTCATACTAATTTTAACTAGATATTACTATTGTGCAATGATATAACTTTAGAATATTTTGATAAAGAAATTTGGGGTTATCTTCAAAGGGTTCTTAGAATACCTGTGCCAACTGTTAATGCATTAAGTGGACTACAGCTTACATACTCTATCTACAACATATTTCCATATAATTTATATGTAAACAGAATTTGTATTTCCAAGCACCATTTAGGAAAATGAAACATATCAATTGTTGTACTGAAGTTGAAAGTCAGGTTTGGTCACCCTGTTACACATTCATCCTGAATATCAAAGCAAATAGCTTATGCTATTGGTTGTAAGACATCTCACATACTTTGTTCCCCAATTTTTCTCAGGATCAGAAACAGCATGATAAAAAATTGTAAGGTGCGTGAATAAAGGCCATTCCTGAAAAAGCTGCAACATTCTGACAGACACTCATAAAAAGCATTTCAGAAAGAACATCCACACAGACATAAATACTCATTCTTAAAAGAGCTACTTGCACAGGGGTCATTTCAGACTGCAGGAATGCACCTTATGTGTGTGGCACTGATTTATGGCACCTAAATCCCCCTCCTCCTTTCTCCTAGACTCAGTTACAGCTCTTTCATACTGAAAGGCCAGAATGAAGGGTTGAGCTTGAAGAGGAAAAAAGACTCCAGTAGAGGTAGAAAAGAAAACCTGTTTAACCCAACTGATTATATGCTACTTTTATAGTAAAGACAGTGGCATAATTAGAAAGAGCATAAGAAAACAAAAACAAATAAAAAAACCAAGTTGTCTGCCAAAAGACAATAGGGCAATGCAAAAATCCTACTTTAAACATGGATCTGAAGATTTTACAGTTGGAACTGAAAGTAAAACCAGAAAGTGTTATAAGGTCAAAGTCACTGAAAGATTCAGGAGTAACATCATAATAAACAATACACTGAAGATTTTCTCTTGAATTGCAAAGTATGAAATTTATGGATTCATGCTTCTCCTGCAGAATGGGTCATTTCAAAAGTGGACAGCAGGATCGAAAAGTTGACATTAAGTCATTCAGAATAAACAGTCACAAAATAAATTATCTAAGACAAACAGAAAAGTGATTTCTTAGAAAGAACTTAGTCATTTATGAGCACAACTTATTACTTGTATCTATTTTCCCATTAGCACTGAAGCAAATCAGTTGATGCTGGTTTTCAGCACCTTTTGTATTTTCTATAGAATTCTTCAAAACAATTTAAACTTGCTTTTTAAATGCAAGTTACAGCTGCTACACATCTAACTTTGTTCATGTGAATAGTTTAAGTAATTTTAATACAGCTACTCTTGTGAACAGATATTCTGTAGAAGGAGTACTACAGTTTTCTAAATTAGTGCAATCTTTTTTATATTTGCAGATTCCCTCTAAACTCTGACCTCCAGCCCCCCTTTCATTCCTGCTTCCAGAACTCTGAAATGAACCCTGCTTGTGCAACACCCACACAGTAAAATTATAATGGAGACTTAGTGTTTTGACAATAAGAGGGAAGAAAAGTTATGTCATTTCTCCTCTTCTGCGTTCAAGTGGTTTCTAACAGATTCCAGAGACATATTCATGGCTGCTTGAAGCATGTCTTCTTCACTCATATCACCTCCTAAAGAAAATAAATCCATGTAAGTTGTAATAAATGCAGAGCTAGTTCTCAACTGTAGTTAAAATGCTTTCGTTGTTCCTTTTGTCCACACCTACCTGTTTCCACCCCACCCCCAAAATTGGTTGGTTTTTTTCTTTAAAAAAAATCATTGAACATTTTGCACTTAGCTTTCCATCCACAACAGTCAGTTTGTAGTAAGTAATACACATTAATGGGGGATCACCAATACCTAATACTGGTAAGGCCTACATACTTATGTTCTACTGAAAACTGGCTACAGTAATTTTGTCAGATATTACTCCAAGTTTATTACATTGTCATACAACTTCAAAAGTCATTTGGAAAACAGATTGTTGGCACAAATCCCAAAGATTACAATTTGTAATGCTCAAGCCAAACAAAACAAAATGCAAAGCCAGAACTCAAATGGTCTAATAGTAACACTCTTCACTTTGAAACAGGATATTGACATTCAAAGCAGAACAGGCTTTTCAAGAAATTGATCCTTTCCTTCACTGCCAAAAAGAGTAATGGCTGTGATACATAGTCTGAATGGCTGCTGGAGTGAGGAAGTAGGCAGACAAGGAAAGTTAGGAACAAAGGTGAAAAAGACAAATATTTCAGTGCTGGAAATAGGTTTGAAAAACAATACCTGGGTCAGCTTCTGGAGTGCTTGAGCTTAGAGTTGGCTTATCATGCAGGTTTGGGGTCCGATCTTGCTGTTGTTGCTGCCTGAAAGTGTTACAAATTTGTAAGAGAATAAGATTAACATCAGTATGAGACCTGTACCATCTAGTTCATTGTAAGGAAGGCCAAGAGTGGGAAGTAGAAGCTGTTTGATACAGTAACATCCCAGCACCTAAAATATCTTCAGTTGTTGCACCCTGCTAACCTTCAGACACCTATCTTCCCGACATTACATTCCAAGCCAATTTACTATTTTCCCAGAATTCAGATGTTCTGCATTCTTATCCTCTCATGCAAAGTCTAACTCCTCCCATCCATAGCATTTCTCCCTGGTCTTTATTTCCTCCATCACTAGGAGACAGAGATAAGGAAAAGCTACAACAATACCCCAACTATGTATTAAGAAGGTACTCCAGAACAGCAACATAAAATATTATCTAGAACGCTTTCACGTGATGCACATTAGAGGCATCATTACCAGAAGCAGTCTTAGAGAAAGAATACTTTTCTTCAGGAAGATAATTACAGAAATTTACAGGATTTCATTTAAAATACTTCTATAACATGTATGTTTTCTTTCTTCACAAGCCTGATGTTGCATTACTAACAGTTCCCCTCTTATTTACAGGTTTCTTTTCTTCGTAGGAACCACCTGGGAATGGCAAAATTCAGGTACTGTTAGGAAAACATGTTAAGAGAGAAAAGTTAAGCTGGACCTCAGTGAGAAACCCATCCACGCCCCAAAGCACTGAAAAATACGACATGTACTTCCACATGCAGTTTTTTTATCAACTACTTTACTTTTCAAAATATGCTTGTCTTCTCTTTCGCAGTTCTTCTGAAGAAAGGGAGTCTGTCTGACTGGTGTGAGGTGACTGAGGAACATTCTGTGGTAATGAGTCCGAGAACTCACTTCGACGACTACCTAAAACCAGAACATGCCATATCCTACTAATTACAGTAAAATGAAGTTAGTAAATGAAATATAGCTTAAGAAAATGTCTTCAAACTTGAGAGGAAGAAAGACTTGTTGGAGAAATAAGCACCTAGGCTAACTTCACTTGATACTATCTCTCCTCCTCACCATAGGACTGTTTCCCTTCCCTTCTGCCACCCTTTCCCAATTTGTTCTTGCTTCCTAATGATCAATGCTGACATGAAAGTTAACTTTTCAAAAAGCAGAAAGGAGATAGCTACAGTAAATTCTGGATTGCCCTTCCATGCCTCAAAGCCAGCCTTTTTAGAGAGCTTGACACATGCTGGAAAAAGCTGACTGAAACTGATTTGAGTAGCTGCCTAAAGCATAAGCAACATGAACACTGTAATAGAAATTTAGATGAGCACTGCACCTTGCATGCTGAGTTGAATGGCTCTGCGAAGATCAGCTTCTTCATCTTCCATATCAATTTCCTGCCTACTTAGAGCCAGGGCTCTCTGAAAATTCTCTTCATCTTCATCTAACATGCCTGTTCCATCAAAAGGATGGTTAACTTCTATTGCTTGGTCCATATCACTTCTGGGTAGCCTGTGAAATTGATACATTCATGGCAGAATTCAGACAGAAACTATATTAACTTTTACCGTGAGATTTAAAGTAAATATTTTCTGCTGATTTAACTCTACTTTTCTTTAACTTTGGAAAAAAACATTTCCATTGTGAAAATCTGTTATATAAACTAAGATTTTCATTTCTGCATGAAAAAGCACAAAAGGGCTGCAAGCAGAGCTTGCAGCTGTAAAAATGAAAATACTGCAACTCTAAACCCATGCACATGTTGATAAGAATCTGTTTGATAGGAAAAACTTCAAAAACAATAAGCCCACAAAAAGCAACAATACATGTTATTCGAACCTATTGCTATTTAAACAGTCACACCAGCAGAAAATAGTGCATGTGGTCTCCTTCTTAGGAAGCTTTGATGACCACACTAGAGCAACAGATCCTCTGTAAACTATACACACTTTCCATGTTACTGCCAAGTAGTTTGTTTTTATTCCATCAATTTACAATACCAGTTTACCTTTACAAAGTGGAAGAAATAATAATAAATTAATTCCTCTGAAAGGCCTTAAGCCTTTTTATCAGTATACAATTTATTCACTATAAAAATGTGATAAAATTATCACAGAAGTAGTACTTTACATGCTTTCAAGGATGTTTTATATTAGCAGTATGCATCACAACAGAGCAGCACCACATTTACAGTAAAATTATTCCAAAAGGGAATGCTGTATGATTTGTATGATGTGGAATTCAGATATGGGTTTCTCGTTCTTTTCTACTTATGACAGAATGCACAAGCCAGTCTTAATTAGAGATGGATTACTATTAACCATAGTTCGGTAAGATTTGCTAACCCATTTTACTATAATTGGAAAAATATCGTAATCATGAAGTTAAAGATCTGCGCTATACAACACATGCACATGGAAAGATTGATTCCTTAAGGTAGTTTTTGCCCACTTAAAGAGACACCATTTGTATTCTACCAACTTGCTTTTACTGTGTGCAACAGTAGTAAGCGTATTGCACTAAAGGTACTTCTAATTACTTCTTAAGGGGGTTGTCTCCATGTAGGCATTAATCATGGAAACCAATCATACTGAACATTATTAAAGTGAAATCTCTATTTACCTTACCTCTGATCTCTTGACTGTGCCGTCTCTTCTCCAATTAGTTTTGGTCGCTGCATCTGCTGTACCCGAATCATCTGCAATAGCTGATCAGCCTCACAGTCTGGCAGGTCACCTTTTACTACAAATATGGAATAACCTGAGAAAAATAAATCGTAAGTCTACAGCATTAAGGTGCACGCATAAACACTCTAGAATGCACACTATATGGAACACAATGATGTGCAATTTATTACAACGTAAGGCTCTACCTTTCATTATAAGGACTTGGGTTATTTCACTATTTCAATCATAAAACTAAGGGTAGTTAACTGAATACATAAGTTCTAATAAATAATGATTATTACCTACTTTTAATTAATGAGATTTAACATCTGCAAGTTACTATTACCTTCCTGTTGTAATTGAGCCAAGAAAAGTGCAAGATATGTATCTGATATTAGTTCTGGACCCATCAAGAGAGAGTTCAAGTTAAACCACTGTAATTAAGAAAAAAAAGGTTTGAGAGAACAAATTAGCATAAAGATTACTTGGTAATCCATTTCTGTACATTGTGGTCATTTTCTATGATGGAATATCCAAATAAATCTAGTAAAAAATATCCGAATAAATCTAGTAAAATAAATTATCAAATTAAAAGTCTTTTGAAGCACAATACCTATACTGCTAAAGGTTACCCTTCAAATACTCTTCAGCTAACAGGAGATCTGAAGTGGGGAAATTACTGCATGCTCTCTCCCATTACTGAACACTGGTATCAGGCAAACAGATAAATCAAAATATAACGGTAGAAGAATTATTTCAGACAGCATTCTAAAATTCTGCTTAATCCTAGTTTTAAATCTGTTCAGAGATTAATGAAGGAAGAAACCCTTCACAAGTTAATGCTGTATCTTAAGAAATTAATAGATACAGGAAACAGAAGTTGAATTCTTTCCATGAAATACTTTCATTAAACGTTCTGCCTTTAATAGCTGAAAACTATTGTTTACTTCTCTCTGAGATAATTTTTAAATTTTAAAATTAAGAAAAATGAACTCAAATTTAATATGCTGATAGTACAGCATAATATTACAATAGGGGACAGGAGATAAATATACACAGATCATTTCTAGTTCCCTGAAGACAACTAGTCATTTATAATACTTCTTCTAGAAAAAAAATATATTCAACATGGATGACAAAACATTCTACCTTTAAAACCCCATATATATTGCAATCAATCTGAAGAACCTTTTTTATACCATACTCATTCAATATTATCCAGTTTTAACCAGGAAGCACCATTTCAGATAATAGAAGGAGAATTCTATCTCCCTTCTCACAAAAACGCATTTATTTACCCAAACTTCCATATATGCAGTCATACACTTGCAGTCAGGCCCATACTATAATTCACCTGGAATATGGGTAAGTAACTATCTACCATTCTGTCATTCAGTCACTTAACTTGTCAAAAACACCCTTTGCCACTAGGAAAGGGTAAGAAGACCAACAGTGTAGGAGTGGGGAATAAAGAGTTATGTAAACAAATACAATGGACAGATTACTGACAAACTTTTAAAGGGGAATATGGAGTAGGAAGGTTTGGTAAACTAATTTTGCTTTAACTGTAACAGAAGAGAAGCAGGTCAAATCTAAGTCAACCTATTTTGTCTATCTTTTCTCATTACTCTAGATAACAGACACCTAGTATTGTCTTCATGTGGTTACAAGCCACATGTACAAGCAAAAGACATCCCCCCCTCCAACTTAAAACATTTTGGGCTAGAATTCTATCTCACAAAATTCCACCCAACATGGTTGTATATATAATAAGGAACATTCCCTTACTTTTAAGAGACCATTCAGCCTTTTTGATATCAAATGCACAGAAATTGCCTGTAAACGTTAGCCATACTTTTCGACTAAAGCAGAACAGCAGTTTAGTTTGTTCACTCACAGATGAATTTTTTTTAAATTTTTTTTTTTTTTTTTTAACTCTGAATGACAACATAGGTAGCCACCACTTGCAAAATGAACCAAACGGGTAAAGAGACTCCTGTTCACTATTGTAGAATCTAAAAGCTTATCTCATGAACATTTTCTATGACAAAAAAACAAACACCAAACCAGCTTATGTTGTATAAAAGCTTATGCAGTATGATTCAGAACAATGATTGGCTACTGAAATAAAACACTGCACTGGCGTTACAAGGGACATGGATGTGACGAGTTATTATTTATGTACCATATACTTCTATGGCTATCCCTTACCTTTAATAACTATTTCCTGCCTATATTATAACTGTTTCAGAAAGTTTTCCAAGTGCAAAGCTGCGATTCTACTTTTCCCGACCTTATCCTGATGGATACTCTTAAATACTAGCAATCATAAATATTAACACATTTGAAATTTGAACCTTTTCTTATACCTACTGTCCATTTAAATGAGCAAAATTATTTTTACAATGTCAATAATTCAGTGCGTTAAAATAAGTTTACATTCTATAGGGATTCTAATCCTTGCCTAGGACTCCCCCCTCCCCCTGTACAATTTTTCTGCTATTTTTCATGAAGAAAAGAAAGAAAAGAGCTTAAGACGTCACACAGACTCTACCAGAGCTGCAGCTCCCTAGAGGGCAGATTCACTGGGGAATTGATCCTAGGGTCTTTCCCCAGGCTAACATTCATAAAAAGCTGCCTGACATTTTTGTGATATAACACACACTTACTTTTTTTTTTAAACATGGGATACTATTAAAGCAAACTGCAGCAAAAGCTTGCAAAAGGCCAACACATGGTCTACTCGCAACCACTTTTCCACCCCCATTCTGAAGTCAATTTTTAAATAAAAAAAGACAATGTCACCTGTTTTCCTAACTTTCGAACTGTAAACCAGTGCTCCTTATAATTACAAATAAATGATTTTTCATTTCTGTAAAAAGAAAAACAAAAGGTATAGATAAAATTAAATACTCTAATATTGGAGCGCATATTAATGTTTAAGTTCTTTGCTACCACTAATTTAAACTTATATAATAAAATTTCAGTAATACAACTGTTGATGTTACAGAGTACTCATACTGCTTTTGTAACATTTAGGAAGTTGTCAACATTACTGAAATCTCCATATACCTGTGATGCCACAGATACTGAGATATCATGAAGGCACAGAGGACAGATGCTCGTATACACCCCCAAAAGGAAAAAATTAAAGACAGAGGGGATAAGAAAAACATCAGAATGCAACAGAGCTTGAAATAGTAATTTTAAAGAAAGATTTAAATCATAGATTAAGAGTATTATTTTTCTGTAAAATGAAAGCGTGTGCTAAGGAAAAAACATCTTACATAGGGTCGATCCCAAGCCTCTGATACTCTGGACTGTTGAAGAGGATTAGTTCTAAACCCCAAACTTTCAAGGCATTGCTTATAACCTGTCAAAAAATAGCACTTTTCATGAGTCAAACCAGTTAAATCTAAATTTAAACAATACAATCATCTTAGCTGCTATAAACAATTATACTGTTTTCATAAAACTTAGATTTCAAAACATTGCTAGGAGACCTAGGAATCACGTTATTCAAAATGCAACTGTCATCAATCTACATGCAAACATAACACACATACTATATCTAAGGGGAAGTAACAAAACTAGGATTTAACTGAAAAGTGTGAATAAGCTTACTCCCCCAGACAAAGCTGTACCTTCACCTCCCACAGATACTTCCTAAGTTGTCATCTCTCTGCTCTCATTGTACTGCTCTGCTCGCCCTCCCCCCCCCCAATACATCATCATCCTTCCCCACAGTAACTATTGGAAATTTTGCACCACTAGATTGTCACAGGATCAGTCAGGTACATTAGCACAAACTCTTTTACAACAATTCTTTAAAGCTATCTGAAATAATGCTGTAAGAAATTTTAAATTAACAATTCATCTTCCTTTCAGCAAGCCAACTATGCAGCAAGTGAGCAAAGCAATGCCAGGACAACAAAAAGTAAAATATGAGGAAGCATTTTTTTTTCAGCTTCAATATTGAAGCAGCACAATCAAGAACACAAGAAATGCCAAACTGTTAATGGTCTTTCACTGAATAGAAAAACAGCCCTGTCCTGCCATAAGGAAGAGAGGCTCTTGAGTGATTCTGGAACATTGACAAGCACCTCTGAAAGCTTGGGAGACAGCCAAAGGTGCAAAGCATTGCCTACAGCTCTAGTCTAGACACAAGCCCCAATTCAGTGTGCAATACCTTTTTTTGTTGTTGTTCTGGTTTAAGTATTTCTTATTAATTACTTTTCCATTATGGTCCTTAAAAAAAAAAAAGAAAAACCCAGCTCTAAAGTGTCTGGAGTGTATTATAAAAACTGGAATGCAGATACTGCAGCTTTTTCCATTCTGCAGATCACTGTGATAACCCTGTAACCATTGCCAAGGGCTCTACAGTCTATAATTTGAGAAAACAATCTCGTCTGCTTTTCCACTTGTAGTCTATGGGAGCCAAGGTCTACACCTGAAGTGCCCATAAGAAGCAACTTAGAAATCAAGCTTATTGCCAGCAGGTGTCATTTCACAGTTCAGGAGGTCCATGCTTCTACCATGTGTTTAAAGGGCCATGAACTGAAGAACTGCAAGTCACTGCTCTTAATGGAAAACACTCTGAAGATTTAGAAGTCCAGCACTTAATCCCATTAAGCCTATAAACTGGAAACTAGATGAAAAAGCTTGGTGTCATTTAAATTATTTGAGAGAATATATATTGCATAAATAAAAAATTCTGTCAGTATAGACCCATGCTTACTTGAATTGAGAAGAATCCACTATCATCCATATTTACAGAAGGCTGCTGCTCAGTGTGAGGTTGGGAGGGAAAAAAGGGAAAAATGGTGTAAGCATAGAAGGTCAGAAATAATTCAATTTTGAAAATAAATATAACTGCACATACTTAAAGCAACAACTAAATGTGTCCCAGTCTGTAAGGCTGATTACAATGCCCAAATAAGCTTATTAATTAAAAATTCAAACCTTTAAATTAGAAATGCTCAGACAGGCATGGGAACTTCTGTTGCTATCTCTGCCACTGGCTTACAAAAAACAAAAGGCAAATCGCTGATCCTCCTTCTCGCCATGCCTGACCTTCCTACCTGTAAGATGACATAGCTTTCTGTAGAATTACTATAAAGCTGTACTAGTAACATTTGAAAATGCCAAATTTAAGATGCATGAATGAAAAGGCCTATAAATTTAAGAAGTTTTAGCACTAGGAAATTAACCTTCTCTAGCTATGCAAGAATAGTAGGTCTGTGCTACACAATATTAGATTTCAGGCAAATATCAAGCAACCTCAAATTAAGAAGATTTTACCTGTAAAAACGTTCTATATTCTTCACTAGACACTCCTCCCTCTGCCATTCTCATTCTTTCTTCCTCATCCAACTGCTGTGCGATAGAGGATAACTCAACAGGACTAAAATATTCCCCTTGTAGCAAATTATTCAGACAGTGCTGAGCACACAATGAGCCTTCTTGCTAACATTAGAAGAGAAAAAAATACCAAAGACAACAAAAGAATCACATTAATGTTTTACTCTGTAAAATGACTCAGCCATTTCATTCTGGCAAGCTTCCTGCCCTCCCCACTCACCCAGAATGCCATCTATCTTTTGGATATATTACACTGCAAGATAGGGAATACAACCCTTCCATCAATTTGATGGGGGAAAACCAACATGCATACTACTTTATTTCCTCAAAGGAAATAAACTTCATGTAAAAATGTTATTTTTTAAAACACTGTAAAAATTGCTAGCGGCCTGACCAAATCACACAAGGACTCTGCAACCATCAGGACAATGGATTCTGTCCTCTTCCAAATCACCACCACATGAAAATGAAATGGTTTAGATGTCTACTTCCAAGTAACAAGTGTTTTCTGCAATAGATGCTCTTGTTCTTTTTAATTTTTCCTCCCTGCCAGGTGTGGCTATTGGCAATCTGCTCTCCACATGTGGCTAAAGAAAAGCAGACCATTAGGACTTTGGAGAGATTTAGAAGTATACACCTACAGAATATTTCCTTCATTTCAGGTTCCTCACCCAGTTCAGTTTATAACCAATTTGTTTATTGCCGAGAAAGCGATTAGGAGCTGGAGGAGCAGTAAAGCTCCTTTTCCACGTGAAATTTATGTATAGGAACTAGGTAAAAGAAGCTAATACTACTGGTTCTAAAATCTCGATGACGATGATGAGGTGACAAGAAAAAAAAAATTAAATTCAGCATATTAAACAATGAAAATAAGTTTTGTTGATAAACCATTTAAATGGAAAACACTTCAGATAACTTTTTTTCATATCCACCACATTGGAGATAATAAAATGTAATATAACATTTTTAGACTGTCAACCCAAATTAAAAATGAGTAAATTAGAAATGTCAGTCATGATTTTGTAGCACAAATTAAAAAATATCTGATCTGAATGAATGCATGTCACACTATCATTTTCATAAGTGTAGATCAAATACTGCCTTGTTAAAAAAACCAAACCAACCAAATTACAGTTTCCCATGAAAAGCAATCTTTCTTTACAAATAACTAAACTACAAGACAAGATTAACATCAGTTTTAAAATCCTGCTTTTCTCTTTTGTTTTAATCAGTCCTCGTTCTTATTTACATTAAGAACTCTAATGTGCATGTACTCTATTAAAACCAAAACTAAAACCCCTCAACAAAAATCAAGAACACCCCTCCCTCCTGCCAAACCCACAGACACTAAGAATACCAGAGCGTGCCTTGGAGGAAAATTCTTTAAACTTCCACGAAAGCCTCATACATATCATATGCACAAATCTCCCATGATCTCCCTTACAGCAGCAACCTCAAAAATTCCCTTTACCCCAGATTAGAGTCTTCCTAGGGCTTCATCACTGAATTGAGCAATGAGTTATTAAAGCTAGACTAGCTGTACAGCTGGGGTTCAACGCAATCCAGAAACCTCCTCCAGCTCATGTCCTTCCCACAACAAGAAACTCAAGACTAAACAACAGCTCCTGTCCCTTTGGGACCACATCCCTGCTGCTGGTCATATGATAAAACTGTAACAGAAGAACCTGCTCAAGAATCACAGGTTTCTCCAACAGAATTATATGAAACTGAATTGGAAACAAAGAGATATTAAAATACCTTTGAAAATGAGTTGTATTACAGGCTTAAATCTTAATTTCACTAAAAGGACCTTTTTGTATTTGTATAGTTTTATCTTAAAGTAATAAACATTACTTTTGGTACGTACAGATTGTGCATATTAAGTTCAAAATGCAGAAGAGAAAACTGATCTTCATTTTTAATGGACATTAACTTCAATTTTTTTTTGGTGCAGAGCATACTGCATCTTTCCATAATACGAAATCCCCTCGTTGAAACCTATCCTGATATAAACCGCTGCCCCGCTTTCAGTGTTTTCAACCACTTGTATCTTATCAAAGAAAGGGCCAACTTCTAAGATAGGGGCTCCTTAAGCCCTATCCTTAAGTCCTACGTTCTGCAGTTGTCATTCCCCTGTTAAAAAGGCTACATTGCTTAGGTCTTTGTTTTGTTAAATTCCTTTATAAATACCATGGGTTTTGTGCCTTTTTATTAGAATATCTGAGGTGTGCAGATTCAAGCGGGGGGTGTGCGTGTACATGCAGCACTCTAAATATTTTGACAGGAACTGAGATAGGGCACTTGATGGGGGTAAAAAAATACCCCTTAGAAGAAAAAAAAAAAAAAAAAAAAACAGAGGGTCAGTTAAATTTTCCCTAGAATAATAACAACAAGATAAAAATATTTAGTACTCCAATCTGAAACAGGCATTCAGGTGTAACTTTGTAACTGCATAACTGTTCTCTGGTTAAGTTAGTTATGTTTCACATGTGAAACACCCAAGACCGCTACCCACCCCCCAAAAACCTGTAGCAACTACAAGTTACCATCAGCTTATAACTTTGAATGTATTATGCTCTGCCACTTCAATTTCAGTGGAGTTTTGTTATTAAACTACAAAGCAACTTAGTCATAAAAAAGTTATCATTTCATTATGCGATATGCTAGGCCACATAAGAGAAAGGTACACTTGTTTTGAACTCATTTTCAAATCTAGACTGGAACTCAAAGTCACTGTAGCAGAGGCCATAACGGCTGAAATCCAACACTCATCCTCCAAACAGCAGCTGTTTAACACCACAATGCTTGCCAAGTTTTGCTACCCAAACCTAGCTTGAAAGAACACTCCTCAGGTTCTATGGATTTCAGAACAGTAATTTTTGTGGGTTGTTGGTTTTTTTTTTTTTTTTTTTTTTTAGGAAAGCTATACACCTATCTTGCTTTATTTGCTAAGTAAACCAACCACTGTGCACGAGAACAGTGTATAAAAACTAGTGTTAATCTTAGCACAATAAAGGTGCAGAGACATTGGCAAAGTAGACGGAAAAAAACCAATTATATTTGAATAGCATTAAAGCATAAATAGGTCATATTTGGGAACCTAGCTAAATCCCAGCAGTTCATAAAAGCAGTTGTCCTCCAAAACAGGAAACACCATTCAGCACACAGAAGCACAGTACATGAACTCGGTTTTCTTTAAGAGCTCTCTCTTTCCCTGCTCATTACACAAACCCAATCAAACCAGGCTAGGCGAAGAGATGTGTCTGAGAGCACAGAAACAGCCCTGCCTGCCGCTGCTCATCTTCACGCTCGTTTCTCAGCCACGCAAGTTCTCTCTCAAGAAACGGAAGCAGCTGCAGCCTACACCTCCCCATACTTGAGATCTACTTTTAAAGGCCCAAGAAGAGCAGTCACCGTGCGAGAGGAAACGCTGAGGCTCAGCCCTGACCCTCTTTGATCTCCAGCAACATTTCCTCTCCCCGCAGAGCCGGCAGGCTTCGCAGAGCCGAGCTGGGCCGGACCACGGGCACCAGCATCGCCGCGCCGCGCGAGGGGGCCCCAGCTCTCCCCCGAGACAGAAGAAGCCGAGCCGCTGCCTCATCCTGCCACTGGAAGGATGCCGAGGAAGGGAAGGGAAGGGAGGGGAGCAGCAAGGCGGCCCGGCCGGGCAGGGCAGGGCAGAGGCCAAGCGCACCCCGTGGGGACCGGGGGCTGCCTCGACGCCAGCGCAGGGACGGGAGACCCTCAGAGAAAGCGCTCTTGGCCCGGACGGCCAACCGACAGCGCAGTCCCGTCCC